CAGTCTTGTTGATCTTGTTGCGAGCCAGTTACTTGTAGCGCTGTTCCTTTGACGGTTTTGTGACGTCACCGTTGCGAGAAAATATTCAGTGGTTAGCATACACCAGGTCATCCGCCTACGTGGCGCGCATGAGCTTAGTTGGCTCCACTCAATGGGAGACACGTGGCGTTGAGTTGGACTTGCTGAAAAATTAAAAAAAGGCTTTCTTTTCTCTATGTGGGGACAGAGCTGAAAAATTAAGTTCCCGCCTAAAACATCCCCCCCTCTCTCTCTCTCCTCTTTTCAATTTCCAAGGCCCTTCTTTACCTGCACTCCCGGGGAAGAACAGCCAAAACACTGTCTCTCTCTTTCTCCACCGCCTCCGCCTCCGCCTCTCCCAAGAGCCCCGCCGGTCGCTCCGAGCTCAGATCTGCGCCCAAGAGGGAGAGCCCGCGTCGGCTGCGAGCTCGGATGCGCATCGGCACGTCGCCTCCCCCAAGAGCCCCTCGCGTCTCGAGCCTGCTTTGGATCCCAAGCCCCTCCGCTCCGCCTCCGCCGAGCTCAGATCTGCGCTCAAGAGGGAGAGCCCGCGTCGCTCCAAGCTTAGATCTGCGCCTGGCACGTCGCCTCCCCCAAGTGCCCCTCCGTCGCGGCTGCTGGACTCCGAGCCCCTCCGCCTCCGCCGAGCTCAGGTTTGCGCCCAAGAGGGAGAGCCCCGCGTTGCTCCGAGCTCAGATCTGCGTCTGGCACGTCGCCTCCCCCAAGAGCCCCTCCGTCGCGGTTGCGCAAATCTGTTGTTCCGTCTCTGACTTTATGTATTGTGTCATAGAATAAGTTCATTTCGTACAATTTGGTATTAATTTACTTTGCTGCTCAAGCACACAGTAAAGAAAACTCAACATATGGGGGACTCAAGATAAAGAACAAGAATGTTTGTGCAGTAAATTAATACTAGCAACATCCTCTGTGCCGCGGCAAAAATCTTCCACCAAAGCCTTCCATCCCCTGCAATGAAAAGAATCTGAGTATGAGAGCAGGACCAAATTATACGAAATGAACTTATTTTATAACACAATACAAAAAGCCGGAGACGGAACAACAGATCTGACGCGGCCGCGACGGAGGGGCTCTTGGGGGAGGCGACGTGCCGACGCAGATTTGAGCTCTGAGCGACGGCGGCTCTCCCTCTTGGGCGCAGACCGAGCTCGGCGGAGGCGGAGGGGCTCGAGTCCAAGCCGGCGCGACGGAGGGGCACTTGGGGAGGCGACGTGCCGGCGTAGATCCGAGCTCGGAGCGACGCGGGCTCTCCCTCTTGAGTGCAGATCTGAGCTCGGCGGAGGTGAAGCGGAGGGGCTCGGGATCCAGCAGCCGAGACGGAGGGGCTCTTGGGGGAGGCGACGTGCCAGATGCAGATCCGAGCTCGCAGCGACACGGGGCTCTCCCTCTTGGGCGCAGATCTGAGCTCGGAGCGACCGGCGGGGCTCTTGGGAGAGGCGGAGGCGGAGGCGGTGGAGAAAGAGAGAGAGAGTGTTTTGGCTGTTCTTCCCCGGGAGTGCAGGTAAAGAAGGGCCTTGGAAATTGAAAAGAGGAGAGAGAGAGAGAGGGGGATGTTTTAGGCGGGAACTTAATTTTTCAGCTCTGTCCCCACATAGAGAAAAGAAAGCCTTTTTTTTAATTTTTCAGCAAGTCCAACTCAGCGCCACGTGTCTCCCGTTGAGTGGAGCCAACTAAGCTCATGTGCGCCACGTAGGCGGATGACCTGGTGTATGCTAACCACCGAATATTTTCTCCACCGTTGCACGTTCTAGATTGCTTTCTTGGTTCCTTGACATGCGCAATATACTTTTCCCTCACTCTTACCTGCTATAGAGACGGATCCCGTTATAACAATTTTTACATTGACAAAAGAAAATCAACACTGGCACACCATTGGTAAGGTTACTGATCTCTTCGTAACATGATCTATGCTTGAATATTACAACAAAATCTAAGGCAACCCAACCTTTCGAGGAGGAACACCAAGAGGAGCAGCACTAAGATGACGATGACGACGTTGATGTCTCTCTTCAGACAAACCAGAAATGACATGTGGCTGCGGACGACCACACTCACCGGAAGAAGAAGAAGAGCAGTAAGAGCGGACCAAGCCAGCTTGTTTGGAGCACTCGAAGTACTGAGTGATCGGAAGCATGAAAGAGCACCTCTGCATCTTTCAATGGTAAAATGAAAACGCAAAAGAGGAGAGAGAGCAGGTGAAGAAGCTCTTGAAAAGAAAAGAAAAGAAGGGAGAGAGTCTTAGAAACGTAAAAGGCGAGAGAGAAGGTATAGAAGGTAGAAGCTCCTGAAAATTGAAAAGAAGAGAGGGAGTTTTACGCGGGTTATCATTTATTGTTGTGTCCTTTTTCACCCACCCTACAGTCTACTGACCGGCTAGGGAAAAGAAGGAGAAAGCTTCGGATTTTAATTTTTTATTTTCTTTTCATGTCCATGTCAGAGAACATGTGTCACTCTCCGAATGGAGCCAACTAAGCTCATATATGCCATGTGGGCTGGTGACGTGGTGAGCAGTAACCACTGAATATTTTCTCGCGGGGGACCGGCTGATCAGAGCGGCGGGGCGCATCGCAGCCGTTGACCAGCACGAAGCTCTGATCGGGAGAACCACCCGAGGGATTAAACCGCCCCTCGATCCACCCCTGTAACGAAGACCGAGATGAAAGGCCCAGGGGAAGGGGGCCCACACCGACACGTGTCAGATGGAGATGCCGATCATTCTTTTCTCCTCTTCTTTTTTTTTTTCCTCCAAAAAATTGAATCTGCGAGTAGGGGCAGTAGAATCCAGGAAAAACTCCGGTCCAAACGCGGCATATGCTTTGGAATATTCTCTCTCTCTCTCTATCTCTAAAAATGAATATAAAATTAATATGACTAATTAAAAATATCCACACGATCATGATGGGGCCCAATAAAACGGTTCCTGCGACGCGACACGACATAATACGCTGATCTGTCTGAAATTTTTGATCCATATATGACACGATAAACATGTTGATGCACGATTACTTTTGTTAACGCGTGTCCTAGGCAATGAGTGTGATTCCGCTTCAAAATAGTCTGAACTCTGAAGATAGCATCTCTTCCTATCTAATGACTATCGCATGGTGTCGATATTTTTAGAAATTCTTATTTTGATTTTACCTTTTCGGATCGTGTTTATGTTGTTCATAGACTAGTTTTGGACAGAGCGTGCCGTGTTGGGGGAGACGGGTACCAAACACGGGAAGCAAAAGAGTGCGGATCACTTTCACCTTCAAATCTGATCCCATTGACTGTTGACTTTTTGGGCTAAATCTCGTGTGATCGAGCTAGTGCATTGAACATCTGAAGAGTAAATAAGAGGGGTGTGACAAAAGATGACAAGGACAGATATTGTTACGACAACTGATGAGGTTGCGTCTGATTGTGGGTCTTAGTGAGATAGATCATTGATGCGATGGAGATATCCCCGTTCAACAGGATTGGTACTCGCGATGAAATTTACTCGTATATAAACCGGGTCGGTGAAAAAGAAAATACCCATTATCGCAATCGATGCGTACATAATACTAGATCATGTAGGTTTTAAGCGAGGCTGGTAGAATTTGGTATCTCGATGTTCATATGGATCGATGGATCACTTGCATTGAGATAGAGCGCGGCTCACACGATAAACTCTACTAAATAGTAAATACTGCTGCTATCTTTGAACGCAAGCCAATGAATGGTCGGTCGCGATCACATCTCGGTGGCTGACCTCATCGTGATTCGCTCTTTGGGGTTGAGACTTTGGCTTGGACCACCTCCTGGCATTTTGTTCTCTACCATGTGCGTATTAATGACCGGTGGTCTCAGGTCACAATGCCAATCTGCGTTCACCACCGTATATATATCATCGTAATGATCAATGATCGGACAATGTCTACATAGTTTGGGACTCTCTTTCTCAATTCATATACATGTTTATAAAAAAATTTGGCACTTTTAGCATAATCCCGTTCGATCGCGAGTAACCGAACCGAGTCCCATATTTTCTCGAGTGGCACCGTCGAAATCATTTTCTTTGAATAAACCTAACATTACTCCGTTCATGTACTAAATATGGTAGTACGGCAAAACGAAGAAACCGATGCGTATGACATACACATGGAAGGATAAAAAAGAAGGCCAATGAAAAACACATAGGATAATTCGATTTTAAGCCTATTATAATAAGTTGGGGCAAATCTCTTAATTGATGAATTGAGAAACAATTATTTAATCAGTCTTAAAACTATTTTACGGATGTCAATTCTGTCCTAAACTTCCTAAATTTGTCAATTCAATTCTAAACCATTACCCGAAATTTCAATGTAGTTCTTCAAGTCAATTTTCGCCGAAAATCGTTGATATGGCAATCCAGTTATCGCCGGCCGTCCTACATTAGCATTTTATAGAGAAAATTGATCGGAAGGAGTATATTGAAATTTCGATAAAATGTTTAGGACTAAATTCAAAAATTTAAGACTAAATTGACAAACGTACGATAAGTTTATGTCTGATTTGACAATTTTCCCAATAAATTTAGAATAATTTTACATCTCAATAAAGCTGAAATTCCCATCTCATTCATATGATCAATTGATTATCACAAGTAAAATATTTTGTTCCACACTCAATGGTACGAGAAAGCTAGTTCAAGCTTTTTCATTTCAAGCACCAAAACAAATCATCCACAACAGATTACCATCACAATACCTTCTCGTATAACTTTCTGCTATTGATACCTAATAGCTAAGCATATGCATTTTCTATCAAGAGGAAGCAGAGCGATAAACTGAACTGCAGAATTCCAGACGTCATTCTCACTCACACAAATTAAACGGCATGTAGAAGTTCACGGCTTCCTCCAAAAAGAAGAGCCAAAATTATGCGATTCCGTTGCAATCTCAGTTAGAGATGACTGCACCCTGTTCAACCTTACAGATGTTTAGCGACAGTTGTAATTGCGATAACAGAAAACAATACCAATATGAACATAATGTCAGTGAGTGGAGTTTAGTCACTATATGAATGCCCTCTGGTTACAATATGAAATTGGCATCACCAAAAACATCGTTGTCAAGGTCAGTCTTCAGCCCCTCCCCCAGACCCTCAATGACAAATTACAAACCTAGATGCAATGCAATCGATGCACAAAGAGCTCCGGCCGTTCATAGATGTCTCGATCTCAAGATAGACACGATTAAATGACATGTTTGGCTTAAAGAAATGGCACAGAAAAAACGTGATTGCAGCTGACTTGCCTGCTTCTCATGCCACTGCGGAGCATACATAGGAAAGATGTAGAATTTCGCAAAATCGCACAAGCTTAATCTGATTTTTAGGTTTCCAAACTATTCTAAGTAACAAGAGCCTTACATAGGATAAGTGTCAGGATCAAATACCAAAGTCACCTGAATGTGTATGGCAAAACTGAGTGGCAAGAGCATCTCGACGAGAAGCATCCTGACACGTTGAACAAATGAATTTCACCACGTCCACATCCATGTCCCTTATTCACTGCTCTTATTTTCTGTCAATTCTTGCTTATCACCAGCACGTAAATCAGGATAGTTCCGATAATTCAAGGAATGCAACCAGAGAGCCACAACTCCTTCTTTGCGCTCTGTCAAGCCTATATGGGAGTATATGTATTTCATTTTGAAGTCTTCTGCCTCTTTCTCATAGTCTTTCATGGAGAGCTCTTCATGGCTATCCTTCCATTTGTTATTATATGATGTGAAGAAGCACTCGTCCAGGTATAGGCCAACTTCAGGAGCTGTTGGCACGTTGATTTTAACGTCCCTGAGGAAGATAACTAAAAGTTCAAAATAGCAAAATAAAACAAAGAAAACTGCACTGCAAAAACATATCATTCACCCAAGGAGAAGCAGTGACCGTACTTACTTCTGCAAAGCATTCGCAATCAGCGTCTCCGGAGCACAATTCCTCATGATTGCCACCGCAAGTCCCATCATTTTCCGTATCTGATGAAGCATGAAACTCTGACCCATGACCTCACACTTGACAAATTCGATACCTTCAACGGTGACTACAGCATTCGCGTCGAAAGAAATAATGTATCGTCGTGCCGAGGGATCCTCGGCTTTTGTTCTGGTGGTGAAGTTGTGGAAATTGTGAGTTCCCACATAATACCACAAAATTCTATTGAACCTCTCCTTCTCCTCCTCTCCATAACAATACCCACTTCCTGTCACTGGTTTCTCCTCCCCATGTACTATAGTCTCTGCAATTTCGCCGTCTAATTTAACCACTGAACTAGTATCCAAATCAGCAGGTGCGGTGTCCGCAGATACTACATTGTCCACCACACTGGAAGTGTCTACCTTGTTGATGACATTGGAATTGGATTTATCATCAATGCCATTGCTCGAGGAATCAACAATACCCTCTTTAACTTCAGTTCCCACGACTGCACAGCAGTCGTTCGACGTAATGCCCGACTCGACTTTGGTCTCATCGGAGTCAATAGTGACCTCCCCAGACCCATTCACATCACTGACTCCACAGCAGTCGTTCGACGTAATGCCCGACTCAACTTTGGCCTCATCGGAGTCATTAGTGACCTCCCCACACCCATTCACATCATCGACCCATCCCCTTAACTGGAAATTGCGCTTACCCATCACCCCAACAACCTTCCGCCCTCTCTCCGAACACTCCAAGCACTTGACGAGCTCATTCCCAGACCACAGACTAGCCGCCACGCTCTCCCTGTCGCGGTGCGTGCTCGGATCAAGCGCAAACACCGGGATCAAATACACGTACCTGCGCCGGTCGCAGAACTTCTTGGCATTGAACGACGACGTCGCCCTCTTGTACCCGAAGATCCGAATCTGGGAGGCGAGGTTGGAGTTGAGCCGGTCGACGAGCCCGGGCGGGTCGATGTAGAACCGCCCGGAGACGACCTGACCCGCGGCGCTCACGCCCTTGTCGGTGCGGGCCGAGCGGGCCCAGTCGTAGCGCTTGGGGCGGCCGCGGTCGGCCTCGGGGACGGCGCCGGAGTGGAAGAGGGCTTCCTCGAGGTCGCCCTCGATGGTCTTGGCTCCCGGGTTCTTCTGCATGCCCTGGTAGCCGACGCCGCAGTACGCGAAGAAGATGGCGACCTTGCGGCGCTTGTACCTTGGCTTCCTGCTGGTGTCGTCGGCGTCCGCGGCGGCGACGGCGGCGGCTTCCTCGTCGTCGTCGGAGGTGGTGGCGGTGGAGGACATCTTGGGCTTCTTGGGGTCGGGTTCTTGCTGGGGCGGCGGCGATCGCGGGGCCTCGGCGGCAGGGTCGAGCGAGGGAGGGTCGGGATTGGCAGAGGGCTCCATTGGCGGTTCTTTAATGCGACGGAAAGTTGCGGAGGTTGTCGTCTGGTGACTGATAAACCCTAAGCCCCCGAACCATCAGCGTAGCAGAGACATTCGGAAACGACGTGTCGTGTGTTCTCACGGGAGGGTATGGTGCGGTGTGCAACTTTTGGGAAGAGATTTACGACAGGAATCGAATGAAATTTATGCATGCAAATCCACGGTTTATTTTTCACGTCAATCAATGTTGCGATAGCTTAAAATCGACGAGGCCCAAAAGATTCTCATCCAAACCCAAGACTTAATTCAAAGGGAAAAAAAGATGTACATTAAGAATTCATTAGGTAAAATAATACAAATAGTCGCTGAATTTTGTCTCAATGTACAATATGGTTTATAAACTTTTAATTTATTCACTGTGATCTCTGAACTTTAACCTAATGTGCAATGCGGTCCCTGAACTTTTAATTTGTTCAATGTCGTCTTTAAACTTTTGGTACATGTTCAATTTAATCACTGAACTATATGAAATTGTTCAATATAGTTCGGGATCTACATTGAATATGTACCAAAAGTTTATGGACCATATTAAACAAAGTAAAAGTTCAAGGACCATATTGAACATTAGGTTAAAATTCAAGGACTACATTCAACAAATTAAATATTCAGAAACCACATTGCACATTAAGCCAAAGTTTAATGACTGTTTGTGCCATTATTCCGATTTATTATTGACATGAGTCGAACTTTCCGGGTCGTGACTATCAAGTAAGAAGAGTCATTTCTCATTCACTTCATGAAATCTACTAATGAGGCCCTGTCTAGAAGTTCAAAGGGTAATTGCATGTTGAGTCTTTGCATAATAGTTCGGTACGACCGAGATAGGATGTGCGTTGCGCCGATGATCGAGTGTAGCTGATATTCTAAGTGTAACTGAGACGGTGGATTATTAAGGAGGAGAACTCTCAACCTAGTGTTCTGATATGGACTGTAGGAATTCATCCCTTGCCCTGCCCCCAACTTAAAGAAACCAAAGTTTCACAGAATTTGTACACGACACGCGCCATGGATCAGGATGGAATCAGATGTTTTTTTTTTTTCCAAATTGTTGTTACAAGAGGATCTCTGATTCAATCAAGAAAAATAGAAACTACAACAGTTTTTCTCAGTGTAAGATGGGATTAGCGTGGGGTACCAACTACGCGAAGCACATCTCCCCCATCATCTCCTCGTCGTCTGAACATGAAACGATCGGTTTTAACGAATCGGGGGCTGGTTGATAACCTTCATCCTTCATTTGCTTGCTTATAATTCGCAATTCCGAGCGTATTTCCTGTATCTGCGGGTGCATCTGGTCACCGACAACAAACACGTGAACCCCGCTCTTCAGCTCGATCCAGCTACATCCGGGCTCTTTACATACCCCCTGAGCTTTCATCAACCTCCTAACCCGTTCCACATCATCCCTCTTGCCCAAGGCGGTATAGATGCTAGACAGCAGCACGTAGGCGGATGACTCTGGCGATCCTAACTCCATTAGCTTCTCTCCAGCGTACGCTCCCAACTCGTAGTCATGGTGGTTCCGACAGGCACCTAGTAATATCCGCCATAAACATAAACCGTGATCGACAGTTGCTGATTCGATGAAGTCTTTGGCTTCATTGAGCTTCCCAGCACGGCTCAAGAGATCAACCATGCAAGCATAGTGCTCTACTCTTGGCTCTATGCCAAATTCATCGGACATCATCTTGTAGTAAGCCCAACCTCTATCTACCAGTCCCATGTGGCTACAGGCAGAGAGAACGTTCACAAACGTTACATAGTCGGGCTTTACACCTTCCATCCGCATTTCCTCAAAGAGTTCAAGGGCTGCGCTGCCCAAGCCATTTTGAGAAAGCCCTGATATCATTGCGTTCCATGACAATACATCCCGGGACGGCATCCTCCTAAAAACAAGGTTCCCATCTTCAAGGCTTCCACACTTTGCATACATACTTGACAGAGCACTTCCAATGGGAACTTTGAGACCCAAGCCTTGCTTAATAATTCCGGCATGGATTTGCTTGCCTTGCTCCAAAGCAGCAAGGCTTGCGCAAGCTTTTAAAACACTAGCCATGGTTAGCTCATTAGCAGCGATCCCTTCACTCTGCATTCTACAATATAAACACAAAGCACTTTCGTTTTCCCCATTTTGTGCATACCCTCCAATCATGGACGTCCACAGGACAACATCGGGTTCTTGAAGATAATCAAATCCTTTCCTAGCATCATCAATGCTGCCGCATTTTGCATACATGTCAACCAAAGCTGTCATGATATATATCTGCTCCTCGAATCCTAGTTTTACGCAATAGCAATGGGCCTGTCTTCCTTCTTTGACAGCACCAATGTCACTACAAGCATTGATAACACCAACAAGAGTGAATTCGCTAGGGCCAACCCCAGAAAAATGCATGCTAGAAAATAACTTCAAGGCCTTGTGAGATTCACCACTTTGTGCATAACCAGTAATCATCGCAGACCACGTGATCGAATTCTTAGCAGTAGAAAATTCAAATGCCTGAAGTGCATCCTCTAAGCCACCACATTTCGCATACATTGTCACAAGAGCGTTCCAAACAGATGCGAATGACAGCAAACCCATTTTAGCAGCAAGACAATGAATTTGCCTACCACAGTCAACAGTTTCAGGAACTGTCAAAGCACTAAGAACACTAGTGAAAACAAACTCATTTTGATCTTCCCCTTCCTCACGCATCAACAGAAACAGCCCAGCAGCCTCAGCAGCCATACGCAGTGAGGCGTACCCAGAAACCATCGTGGCCCAAGAAACCGAGTTCCTCTCGTGCATTCTATCAAACACCTTGCGTGCATCACCCACGAGCCCCGCCTTGCAATACATATTCAGCAGAGAGCTCCCGACAAAGACATCGCCAAAGCTCGCGGTCTTAATAGCCAACGCATGCGCCTGCCTGCCACCGGAGACATCGACAACATTCGAAGCGGCGGTGAAAACGCCGGCGAAGGTGTGGGCGTTGGGCAAGACATTCTCTTCCCGCATGCGCAGCAGCAGCCCCATCACGAGGAACGACCCACTGGGTCCCTTCCGAGAGTACCCATTGATGAGGCAGTTCCACGAGACGACGTCCCTGTCGGCCACGCCGTCGAAAACGAGCTCGGCCCTGTCCAACCGACCGCACTTGGCGTAGAAGTTGATCAGGCCATTAGCGAGGTAAGTGACGGTGGAGGCGCCGCTCCTGATGAGCTGGGCGTGGAGGGATGTCCCGCTTCGGAGGTCCTTCTGCTGGGTGTACGTGACGAGCGCGTCGAAGACGGAGCGATACCGAGGAGGAAGGAGACTCATCAATTTCACTCCTTGTCGTGCGGCGGAGCACTGCAACGCGACGGCGCATTGGTCGAGAGATCATGATTCATGTGGGTGCAACGAAGAGACACAATTCGAAAACCACGAAGCTCGCATCGGAGTTCGAAACGAACGGCAATGGCGGTGGAACTCGAGAACACGCGACGGCGAGAGGAAGAAGACGGAGGAGCGCCCGTGGGCTTGGGCCGAACCGGATCGCCTAATCATTCGGTTGTCCTTGGGCCGGCCGGCCCATTACATGTCCGGCCCAGGCTGGTCTTTTTTGTTTTGAAGCCCAAGACTATTATTATTTATTACGAGTTATACGATTATTATTTCGTAAGTCAAAAGGGTTTATTAATTAATTAAATTGACTAAAAGACGTGTACGTAGTAACTTCGTGCAAGGAAAAGCTTCGAAAGCTCGTTATGTAAGCATCGCGTCATCATGGCGTAACTTGCATGGGCGTGTTATGAATCCGTTTGTTTCGTTAAAAATGAATAATTTGAAAATTATTTTTCTAAAATATGATTGCTCATTTCGCTTACAAAATTGAAGAAATGAAAAATATTAATGTTTAGACATAAATTGTTGTTGATGATTAAATATTTTCAATTGGCTAATTATTTCAAATAATACGAGTGATCATTTTTAGGAAAATATTTTTCAAGTCATTCATTTTTTGCGAAACAAACGGAACCTAAATGATCAATAATTAGGTTCCGAGTTCGGCAATTACTTATTATAAGAAAACTTGATATTGCAAGCATACATTATAAATTTACTTGTTTTTATAAAAACATTTTGACAACCAAAATTGATTAGAACAATAAAAAGTGATATCTAGTTTTTATCAAATACGGTAATTTGAAAATAAATTACCATTCTGATTTTTTATACTTTATTTCAATATTTCATATACGTTTTCATTTCCATTTTCTCATAACAAAATGACACTGCGGCGAACTTAACTTCAAATCATCTACTACATAGAGAATTTCGGTTTTCTATGATTCAAATCATCTACTTCATTTTTCACGTATTAATTATACATGGCCCTGGACGACCGGCAAAGTAAAAATTATATAAAAAAAAAGAACTCTCTGTTTAATAATTAATAAATATCTAAAAAGTACTCGTCAACAAAATCCATTTCATAGTGGATTTTTTTCTGGAGGGCACGGCTCTAGCAAGAGAGCAAAGTCAATATGTCCTTAGGGACAATGATGATTCTTTGAATGGATGAACTGCCAAATTCAATTGATGTGGAAGAGTTGGAGGCGTAAAATCTCATTCAATTAATGCGCTAGAGTCAATTCATTGGGGCTGCCATAGTAAATAACATGGGGATCCAATAATTTTCGCGTGTTATTGACATTTTGAAAATTAAAATGTTCTGATTAGAAATGATTAGCGAGCACCTTGAACATTCCTTAAAACATCATTTACAAAAAAAAGTGCACAATTTGAAATACGGATCTCGGTAACAAGTCTTCGAAAAAACATATGTCGAACAAGAAATGTTTTGACTTTTGATGTATTGGTTATACAGAGCCCCCGAGAAAAAACAATGTGTTGAGAATTTCGAAACTCTTTTTATTTTATTAAATTAAAGAATGTTTTCCATTTTAATTGCATCGTTTTTTGTCTCGTGTTATGTGCAATTACTATTTCGAAAATTGAGATATTCTTCATTAAGCATGCTTACCAAGTGCTCCGCGATACTTGTTCACAAGATGATTTTATTATCAAAACTTTTTTTTGTTGTGAAATACAAAATTTCTTTTATTAAATCGATTGCGAACGGTGCATTATTTTGAAAAAAAAAACGAATTAATTGTTAAATATGTTTAATCAACGTGACTCTTTTTTGAATACGCTCTTTAAGGAGGGTCCTAGCCGCGACGAGGGCGACGTATCGGGCGACAAAATGGAAGGATTTCATTTCATTGTTCTCCTGCATGAACAGGATGGAGGCAAAAGAGGATGTGCAGAAAAAAATAAAAAATAAAATCCACGGAATTAATTGCTCCTCTTTGCTTTTAACGAGACGAGTGTAATACAATCGTATTTACACGTCATTATTTGATAAATAGATTTATCATAATTGGCAAAAAAATAGGAAAAAAGAAAAGAAAAAAAGGATCCATCGTTTTGATACACGAGACCCGGGTAAATATTTGACACGTCACGTAAAAAAGAAAATCTTTATATAGAGATCTTCTCTGAATCTCTACCATTTATTTTTCTTTGACTGTACGGATATCTAGAAGCACTTTGGACTTTAAGTAGGGATGTTAGACTAGTAGGGATTTTAGACTAGTAAATAATAGCCAAAAGCCACAAAAAAAAAAATACAAATTATGTCTACCGTTGCACTCTAAAATTGTTCTCGCGACATAAAAAACTCCAAATTTATACTTATGTGATATATTTGTCCTATGTCAAGATTCAGTTAGATGATTTTTCAGCCAAAATAACGTCGTTTTTATTTTACTTAAGTCACATAGATGCCATGTCAACACTATTTGCTTTCTAAAGTTTCATGTAGGCAGATTTTTTATGGAGGGTAAATATATTATATAGGTATAAATTTGAAATTTTTAGTATTACAAAATTTTTTTTACAGTAAATATGTTACAGTGAAAATAGTTTGAGAGTTTTGGTGATTTTTGGCAAAATAAACTTTTGGTGTATTGATATTATATATAATATATATTTATTTATTGACTCAAAAGAAAAAGGAGACATCTAATACAAACCGGCAATGATTCAGGCACTGAAAAAATGAAAACACGAAGAAATCTATCCACTCATGATGAAGCCATTGAACACACTTTCTGTTTTTAGCATTTTTCTACAAAAGTGACCGCATGAAAAGACATCACTCATCAGTCATCTGATTGCAAGCTAGCCGTTGAGGTGCATGTACATGATTGCACTTTGCCATCTGCGATTGCAATGTTTTGAGATTCGTAGGGTGTTCTTGTTCACATTATTAACATATGAGAAAAGCTAGAATGGAGAGAAGGAATTTCAATAGGTTGGGATATCGATAGGTAAATACACAAGAGAAGCGATTTCGAACCTGATAAATACAGTCATTTCGGATTAGGAATTTCTAGTTCATGAATTAGAGGCATTTTCAATCAAATGTCGTAAATTGCATTGTAAACTTTTTCAGTTAGGGTCACCTATATAAATAAAAGAAATGCACTTGATCAGTTTATGAGACTTGCAGGGTGTTTTAAGGACTTCTACATAACCGAGCCTCCATGCATACCCCTACACTATTAAAAGGAAAAACACTCAAATGGATTTTCATCGTGGAAAGGAATACATAATTGTCACGATTTCCTGAACCCATAAAGAAGCTCCCCCTTGCTAATATACCATCCAATTTGACCCTCTCTTCCTTTCCTTGCCATAAAAGACCTTATCTCTTCTAGATAATTTTTGGGTCCAGCCATTATCCTACTAATCGTATAAATCAGGTAAGTCATCGGCTAAAATCTGAATAAGTTATAAGTTATTTACATAATCGATGATGTGGGGAATCAAACATATGACGTGCACTTTAATATGCAAATCTCTTCGTTCCTTAACCACGAACGGTGGGGTTACAATTTGTGAATGTTTTAATAAGCACACTAAAAAGCAATACCTTATTAATAGGATTGCATTACCTTCTATTGAAAATACAAGAGAATATGGCTGCATTTGGTTTAGCTTTTTCAAGGGTTCTAGGCCTCTAAAGTCCATCGAGTAAAAGTCACAACTTTTGGTAAAAAATTTTTGGACTACTTTGGGAGAAAGTAAGCATTGACAAATCCTAAAGCTCAAGACAGGACTTGCCTTGTGCTTTCAACATTTTTGGATAGCCATCTCTAAAGATTAACGAAATTTTTTTCTTCCAAATTTACCCTCACTATTGTTTTTGAATTCCTATTTGGCCTTCATTTCTAATGTTCATCGTCTCTACTTTAGTCTTCACCCTCATCGTAACAGAGTCGACGGAGCTTCGTTGCCTCGCTAGTGATGGGATAATTTGCCAGGAAAGTGAAACAACCATCGTTTTTTGTCGACTTTTGTGGGAATCCCACTCTTCGACATCTACCTCAACCCAAACTTTTAGGGTTTCGTTTTGCTCTCAATTGCATTTCAACACCCGTCACTCCATATTCTGATAGACGTGAGCCTAGAGTCTATGGTCGCCGGGGGACAGTCGTCGAGAGTTGAGTGTTGTTGAGGGTCGACGATCGGTAGTCGCCGAGATCTGGGTACGCGGGATCCGGGTTCATGTTCTCCCTCGCTGAGTTCCAAATGTGAGTGCAATGGGTATTCCGGATCTTAGTACACATTTTCAAGTTTCCAATTTTGTTTCGATGGGTGTGTTTTCCCTAATATCCATTCTACAGTTTTGCTTTGGTGGGTATTCTTCTATTTTCTCTCATTCTTTACTTTAAAGCTCAAAACTATATCTACTGAGATACATTTACTCTAAACTTTTTTGGTGACACCATAAGCCCTAAACTTGTATTTATGTGCACATTTACCTCAAACTTTCTTCCGTGACCCTAAAAATCTCAAACTTGTAACCATGTGACACATTCACCCAAACTTGTACCCGTGTGACATATTTACCCTCCGTCAAAATTCTGTAAACAAACGTTGTACCTAATGGTCGACGGAAAGTAAGCGGTGCTAACGTGGTAAAAATATGTCAACTCATTGTATGTTTTTTTCTCATTTTCTTTTTCCTGTTTTTTTGAACCTCCTCGTTCGTTTTCTTCTTTGGTTTGATGATCGTGAGGAAGGGCAATGGCGGTTGTGAGGGCAATGGTAATGACGAAGGAAAAAAAAAAGAAAACAGGAAAAAATCTTGATGAAAGGCAAATGTGTAGCGCAGGTTTATATAAGTTTGAAATTTTTTGTGTCAGTGAACAAAAGTTTGTGATAAATATGTTACATCAAGAGTGTCATAAAAAAGTATGGGGTAAATATGTCACATGAGTATAAATTTAAAAAATTTAAGATAAATGTGTTTCGGTAACTATGGTACGAGATTTTAGGTGACTTTTAAAGAAAAATATATCGCAATTCATTTAAACATACGATATTTGTGTTGAATAAATGAACCTTAAGTCAAAGATCTTTCGAGAAATGTGCAAAATCATTTCGTCGAAGCTCCCCCAAGCGCACCCCATATATACGCTCATCACTTCGTCCAAGACTAACAATGGAAGATAGAGAGGAGTTTCATCTGATACTTATTTCATGAGGGTATCGCAAAGGGTTCCCAACAGAGTTCATTGGCATTCTGTCCACCTCCCACCGATCTCATCTCAAACCCTCCCAGAAAAGTAAAACAAAACAAGGGGATAACAAGGAAAGATTCTTTATCAAGTCCCCCTTGTGATCTCTTGAAGGTGGGCGGACTGCCAACTGAGCTCTGTTTGGCTCTCTCTGTGAAACCCTTCATGAATCATTCTTCTTGAATCATTTCTTCATGTTTTATCAGCTGATTTCTTCAAGCTTTTTGATAGAGTGAAAACAAGGTAAACACCACCAAACCCTCCCTCTCTCTCTCTCTCTCTCTCTCCTCTCTCTCTCTCTCTCTCTCTCTCTCTCACACACACACACACACACACACACACACAAACACACATGTTCTCACTTTTTTCTTGTATTCATTTATTGTGGATGCAGGAAGTTACCACAACTTTGGTTCTTGTAGATTTGCAGAAACATCTCTTGGTGTTGCCGCTAATTTCTGGTTTTTTTAGTTCCTTTAAAGAGGAGATGATAGACATGTTCATGAGTCCACTGGTCTCGGCGTTTGATCTTTCTCTTCTCCTCATTTTTGCTGTTTGGCAGGGCTTAAATTTAGCTGTTGACACGTCTCGTGCATGGGTGTGACCTGGAAAACAGAAGAAGATGGATTCATAAAGTGATGACCGTCGCTCTGTGATCGATCGTTTGATCTGTCCACTCGAAACCCTAGTTCTTCTTCCTGCCCCATCTCTTCATTGTTCCTGGAAAACTAGAGTTAAAATCCCTGGTTTCTTTCCCAGCAAACAAATATGTATATCATAGTTTATGTTTCCGTTTCTTTTTGTGATCACATGATTCACATCTTCCAAGTCCTTTATCTAGGGTTATCTCAGTTTTTTTTTCTGAATTTTTAGCAGAAGAAAGTTAAAAAAGGCAAAAAGAAAAAGAAAAAGAAAATTGGAGGGGTTGGCTAGCTAGATAAAATGGAGTTCTTTGGTAAAGATTGGAAAATGAAAAGTAGAGAAGAAATAGTAAGTACATTGATTGACATGAAGTAATTTCACTTTGTTAATTACCGTATTGGCCATGGAGCTAGAGGGTGGACCATGATTGAGTCAAGGTGAAAGTAATGAGTGGTGGATTCAGAAAGAGCCTGGCCTCTTGCATGGAAGAGCCCAATTTTTCACCATCATTTTTTGCATTAATTATTCATTAATTCTGGATCCTCCTCTTTCTTAAATGCACACCGTGATCTTGAGTGTAAATCTTTGGTGATCCTTATTTGCTTCCCTGGTTTTGTCAAGATCCATCCTATGTGTGAGGGGGAGTGTCAGCACTTTCATCTTAGACCTTAAACTTTCGAAGAGTTGGCAGTGATCACACAAAATCTCTCAGTGATATGTGCTTATAATTATAATTATAGTTACTTTCTGAACTTAGTTGAATAGATTTGGATAATAATATATTTAGAAATAGTGATAATCATGTTGAGTAACACTAAAAGATTATAAATTCTTATACGTATTTTATATTATAATTGATTTATTTATCACGTCATTTGTTAATCGGCCGAACGCATCTGATAATTTTTTTTTTGGAAAAAAGCCACCAAAAATCTCAAATTATGTTCATTATTACACATTTACCACAAACTTTTTTCCGTGACACAAAAAATCCCAAACTTATACCCGTATAACATATTTACCCTCCGTCAAGGTTCCGTCTATGAACACCGTTAAAAATCTGCTTATATGGTCGCCGGAAAGCAAATAATGTATGGTGAAATAAAAACAGTGTTGTTTTGATTAAAAAATCATCCGACGGAACATTAATGGAGGAGGGTAAATGTACTATATAGTTACAAGTTTGGGATTTATTACGTCGTAAGAAAATTTTTTAGATAAATTTATCACAGTGGGCATACTTTGGAGTTTTTAATGTAAAAAAAAAAATTCAAAATAAATATATGACCGTGGTCATAGTTCCAGGTTTTTTGAGATGTTTTTTTTTTATATTTATGAATGTATTTGGATTATCGACCAAGAAAAAAAAAATTGTATTTGGACGATCGTGGTCAAGGAAGTAAATGGCCCTCCAAAAGACCATGATTGAAAAAAACTGACAAATGCCACACCATCATTAAGTGCAGAGACGCTGCTGTGGCACCGCCGCCATTAATGGGGCTGAGGAGGGACAGTTAAAACCACAGAGGCGACGTGAATTCGAGCTTTCGAGTTAAATGGGAGGGAAGCCAAAAATAGGGGGATGTGATTTTGATGGAATTGTCGTCTAGGCTTTTAATTACGTCGACCCACCTACTCGTGGTCAACAAGATGGAAAGAGGTCCAACTCTTACTGATTATTATATAAAATAAAATAAAAACTTTATATCATCTAATATAGGGAACATATTATGAAATTTTCTCTATAAAAAAACACTAATGTGGTATGATGCCACGAGAGCTCAATTCGTTTGCCAAGATCGCCACGCGACGGTTTATGATTCGTTAATCCGATCTCATTTGGGATTTTTTTTTTCTCTCGAAGAAAATGAGATTTTCCAAGAATTGGTCTTTTCTTCCCTTGTTATTTATTTTTCTTGTTTATTGTACTTTTAATCTAGTCAAATAAAACTTCTCTTTTCTTTTTTTGAATTTTCTTGTAAATAAAAGTTTAGGTGAAGGGGAGGTTACCCCGTGCCAAGGTCAGGGCATATCACAGGCTTAGAAAGTCTTATAGTGAATTTACATATTGCCTACCAAAGGAGATTGTTGACAGTGGGATGCGGACTTGGCACTGTTGTTCAGAGAATTCGAACCTTACCAGCCGAGCCAACTCATTTTGGCTTTTCTTTTATTTTCTTTTGTTCCCCAACTTATCATTTTAGCAAATAATCCACACATAACTATTATGAATTTTTTTTTATTTAATGCGAGCTTATTTTTTTGATAGACCTTCAAAAAGTAATTTGGAATCAAATCCATATCATGAGAATTGGTTATATTTTTCTTGAATCTATTTATTATGTGGTAATCAAATGCGTGGTAATAAAGATAATAATTCTTTAATATTATTGTCAAATAGTAGAACTAACATCAATAATCTTAATCCTAATTTATTTGCAGTTCACTAACGGGCAGGTCAAGAAATGGCCACTTATGGTTGCTCGTCTTAATTTTTTTTTTTAATTTTTCCTCGCATCATTAACAATAAATTTCGAAGTATATACGTTTTTTATGCTGTCTAAATACAAAGTATATAACCTTGAAAATAGGAACAGCGTACTGTCAAAAATATGAGGAAAATTACTATGTATGGAAAATATTTGGTCATCAAATCATTGTAGAAGAAAAGGATGACCGATACCATAAAACGATTATATCACATTATTACCATCACAGGCCATTAGAACCCAAGTAGAATGATGTAGGAGTGAACGACTGTCTTAACCAAAAAGCTAGTTTATCGAACCCTCATTAGCTTGTGACAGTACCAACGTTATCGACCTTCCTCGGCGCTCTTGAAAGTGTACTCAAGCAAATTGGTCATGCTCATGTCTCGACAGGGGACGAAATGTCATTGCCCTCCGCGAGATCAGCACGGAATCAATCAATCACGTTCATAAATACGATATGAGCATATGATCTCTCGCTGCATTTAAAGCCATAAAGAGACAATGTCTGTTTTTATAAGGTATTTGGTAAACACCTCCCAGTTGCAGCAGCTCATAGCAGCTTAAGGTAACGCACACCTTGCAACATAAGTACAACTAACCCATGGTCCAAATGATGTAAAGTGCTTTGTTATTTGTTGATGAGTATTTCCTCTTAAACAGTTGTTAATATAACAATCAACCAAAGTATTTCCTTCCTTAAGCATGCTTTCCACGACTAAACAAAAATCTCATGAGACATCGTCAAGAAAACCAACCAGTCAAAAGTAGGAAAAAGTACATAATTCTTTACGGACACTCCACATATACTGACATATTTTCCATACTTTCATAAGCCGAGTTTTCTACCTAGGCAAAAAGGTCATAAAGAACCAGAAATGGCCATTCTAAGTGTAAGTGGGTTGCGTTACTTTGTTATCTGTAATGACAATCAAGATTTTCTGCTGCAGAAACCGTCTGCTTTCGCTTTATGGACATGCCTCACGAGATGAACTTCCTTAACATACGAAACAGTCATATGCTGCATCTGATTTAAATTATGATGAACAATATCCGAGAATGAAATGGTTTACAGTAAGGTACTACTAGCTGTCTGTAGATATCTTATTTCTGATTCCTCTTAAACTGCCTTTTAGAAGAACTAGTAACAGCTACACAAGCGATTGATTTGTCGAAATAACACATTTTCGCTCTGACCTAGTTTACAGTGATGATGTCCAACGATGAAGTTCCACATATCCAGACAGCACAATGCGATTCCTTTCTTTGACCCTTGTCTGATATATGACCCTGCACATTGTAGCAGCAAAAATAAGAAACCAAACCCTTTTAAAAAGTAATAGTCTTTTTCAGAAAGACAAGGTTTCATACCTCGAACCTTCAACCCACATTTCAGTAACCAGAGTTTCCCCAGGGTACACATGTAGAAGAAATCGCCCTGATATGCTTTTCACCATGTCTGGGTCTCCTTTGCAGATGCACTTGATGATTGCCCTGACTGCGAACCCCAGTGTGCAAAGACCATGCAGTATCGGCTGGGAGAATCTTTAGAGAGTTTAGATATGCATCAGATGCTAGTATATATAATTAAGAAAATTACCACTGAGATAGTACACTAAAATAAAAAGCCCAAAAATTACTCTCATAATTAATGAAGCAAATCTGTTATATACAAACCGTGTTATTTTAGAGAAAGCAACTATATCACCACTCACTCACTCCCCTCATTGTGCACTCTTTTGGTAACATAGGGGAGGAAATGCAATTGCATTTCGTAGTTAAATTATGCTACTGCCATATGTCAAACATGCCTTTCCCTAACATGCTTGGATTGAGGGAAGTGGAAGAAATTGAAGGGAAACAATAACCTAAGGCATTCTCTCTCTTGTTTGGCCGATAAAATAGGAGGGAAACGGGAAGTAATTACCTTTGACCCACATTTCTTTTTCTTTTGGAAGGTGGGGGATATTGAAGGAAGCACCACGAGTAATCATTATTTCCAAAGCTACCATTTACTTTGCTTATAGATATGAATAGGATATAAAACATATTTTTTTTCCGTTACCATTTTCATTTCCCACCATATAAATTCCCTTCAATGCACACTCAAACAGGAGGAGGAAATTATTGCTTCTAATTCACTTCATTTCCTTCGATTTCCTTTCTCTTCTTTTCCCTCCGTTTTCCTCCTAACATATATTACCAAGCAGAATGTCGTAACATGGCTAGGAAATGTCTGAGGAGATAGATAGCATATGAAAAACCTACAGCCCACTACCCCATGAGTGTGCAGAACCTTGCAAAGAAATATGAATGATAAGGTCCCTCCCAATGCTATAAAAGCCAAATTAAAAGGTACACGAACACTGATTAAATTTGATCTGCATCACAGATTTGAGACTGACTCATGAATCAAATTCCAACTTGAATAAATCACTGAAATACTCTAAACTAGGATCTTGAGTGAAAAGCAAAAGCAATTGAAAGTCTCAAATTTTTTTCTAATAATATGAAGTCTTCTGCTCCAAATAACAAGTTCAACACTTCTCAACTGACTGAATGAGATCTAATAAATTTCAACAAGATCTCTAAATTACAGTAGCCAGGAAATTAAGATTAGAAGTAGAAAGGAACTGACCCTGCAACTTTGGCAATCATTGGATCGGAATGCAGAGGGTTATAGTCCCCAGATAGCCTATATAACAGAGCCTACAGAACAGCATTAAAATGGTTAACGAAGAATTATCTAAAGAGACATCTGATAAGATAAAGGCAGTAATTGCAATTCAAATTGTCATTGACTAAATACTGATAGAGTAGTCAATTAAAACTACTTTATATCAAGATCAACCCAGTAGACTGTAATAGAAGAAATTTTCACTTTGTCAGTCTTAGCAAGTACTTGACATCAACATATTGTAATAAGTGCTTGCTGTTCTGAATAGATGTCCAGGCTAGCTAGGCACAAATTTACCATGTAAAACCCTATGCGAAAAAGACGAATTTAACATATTTTTTGGAGACAAAGATACAAGAAGCTGTGGAATAAAAAACTCAACGGAAACTAGAGGAAACTGGAAAATAAATTAGAAAGATTTTACTTGACACGACCAATCGGATCCATTCTTCTATAAAGTTCAGCATGGATACATAAGAAGAAACTTAAGCTTTCTATGACAGGCAAAATGAAGCTAATCTTTCCAGAAGAGATTTAATTACATATATCCAAAAAAATGCTGAAATTTGAATAAGTAGAAATCCTATACATTTTGAAATGATGAAATGAATGATAGTATGTACATACCTGTGATGGTTGAGTACAATCCTCAAAAACAGAAAAGGGTTTATCCTTGGGGATTTTCACAGCTCGGACTTGGTTGGGTGGATAATTTGAGTAAGAAAATGGTTGAGATGATTTTGAAAAGCCACCAGCTCCACGGAGGTAAGCAGTCATCCTGCTCATCAACATTGTATTACATGATGTCATATATAGTACGAGAACATAGTAAGTATGAATAAGTCTACAGGGTGCAGATCTAAAAGTTCAAAACATAAATTTTATGACACAGAGATAAACTACACAAAGAAAATGGGATTCAGCAACCAATGACAATCTTTTTCTCCAATAATAAGTTGAAAGAATAATTTCCAAAAGTCACCCAAGAGTATCCCATTATCCAGTCAGAAAACTCAAATCTTGTGCTGGCCTAACTTGAGCAGGTGGCTGGAAGTGCTACAGCATGTGTGGAATTTTGAGAGAAATAGAAAGACCTGACCTGTTCATGCATAATAATTCACCCGAAGATTGATCAAAAGTTTTGGTTTCTACCTCCAAAACAGCAGCCTTACCTGGAAAATGAATTACAGAACAGAAATAAAAGGAAGAAAAGAACAATCATTTCTCTGCAAGGCTGGAGAAAGACGATAGAAAGAGACAAAAGATACGGAAATTTTGGAGTAAATTCCAGGAAAATATGTATATACCAAAATAATAAGCAGAAGTATAAAATATGCTTCCCTTACAGAGCGCTTACATGGATTGTTGACTTGTTAAGATTACTCATGTTTTCCACACTCACATAGGCAATAACCAATATCTTCACAAAGTACCGTTATACTTGTTAATAAGAAGAGCCTTGCCATATGTTTTTAAAGTCATCCTAGCACTAGCACAGAAGTCCAATATGTGCTCGCTCATTGAAATGCCACTTTCCTAATTCTAGATCGAAAATAGTCCCTAGTAAGAGAGTCCATTCCTGTAACTGATTAGTGGGGCGACAATGCTTTCAAATAGGGCTAGCAACTTTTGACATGACCCATTTACGTGAGTTGTCGTAAAGTGTGTTCAAATTAAACTTACTGCGTTTGTGTAACAAACAGCTGTGTAAGAGACCCTTTTAACCTATTTATGAAACGCTTAAACATGTTAAACTAATTAGGTTAACATGCTATTCTGCGTAACATAACATATTCAGATACATTTAAACACATTTGTCAGTTTCTAAAGGATTATGTATAAGAGTTCGTGTTTAAAAGGAGCTACACGTATTGTGTCATGTAATTCAAACAAATGGGTCCTTGTCATGTTAAGATTTGAAAGTTATGACACAATTAATAAATGTATCGTGTTCGGGTTTCATCTAAAATTGACACAATTCGATAATGACACCAAAACATAAATTGCTAGCACTACTTTTGGGTCAACCTAACTCCATGTAAATAAGAAATATTTCCGCTAGTAAGACCTACCTTTATCATGCAAGCCTGCAAGACTTACCTTATGTTGTAACTGCATCAAAAGATACAGTAAAAGTCAAGTTTGGACTTAACAACAGCAAAGCACAATGTAACATAGATCTAATATAAGCAAAGAGTGAAATTGCACATCTGACTATATACAAAAGAGGACGATCACATTGAATGGATTGACAGAAAGCATGTCTATAGAAATTTTATCAGTTTGCATAACAACAGAAACAAGGGCCTTCGAAGAATAATTAAGTTCAGACATGTTCAACCAATTCACACTCAAAAGTATCAAACCCAGAAATCCAAAAACTAGTGTTGGACTCAATCCAGCAATCAAATAACATTCACATTATTCTTGTCTTGAAAAAATTATTCATCATGTTTGTTTCCTAAATCCATTCACTCTTCATATAGGAAATTATTCCACATTTCACCTCCATGTCTTCCAAACATCTTTGTTTGTTGATGGCAATTCTCGGTATCCAGCTAACCAATCATACAATGATCAATTTTAGGATTTTATTATGGTTGATACGCTCTTGATTCTTGAATAAACTGGACCTCAAGGTCCGCCGGTTGAGTATCCTTACACATGCTCTATTTATTGTAGATTAAGACCTCCCAAAAAACTTCATCTTTCGATGATGACATCTCAGACTTTTTCAGTTATATTATTCCCAGGGACGAACTGATTGTCCATTTTCATCAAGAAGCAGGCTCAAGTCAATCCATCGGAAGATAACTGCCAGTTGACCTTTAGCAGAATTCTTACATGCGCACTGGAAGGAAAAGGCTTGTACAGTTCTATGTATTGCTGTCCATGCAACAAAAGCCGTTGATCATATCTGTGAGAAATGGAAGCAGAAACCAGAATGAGCCTTCCTCCTTTTACTCAATTCCAAAGCGGAAAACTAAAATTGGCAAGACAACGAGAGAGAGAATTCTGTGGCCTGGAGTCCAGTAATAAAGAAACTAAAGTACATTAGATCCCACATGGTGCCGTAAAATTGCGCATTCTACCAAACAGACGTGATGGGATTAGTCTCAAGAAGATTCTCAACAAAACAACACTTACTGCAAACCCGGAAAACGCAATCCATCCGGCAAAGATTGCAGGCAGAAAAGAGCAGCAAACGTTGGCAATACCTGCAAAATATTAAAAAAAAAAAAGACACAAGTGATAAAGGACGAATTATATGCACAAGGCGATGCAATTAGTAATACAGAAACTAACTGTTTCGACAGGAAAATGCAAAACTAAGATAATCTTCTTCTCATCACCTATACAAGTTACCAAGACAACCGGAACAACGGACGCCCCTCTGAGGCACGATACCTTAATACACTGCTGTCCATTTTCATGGTAAACATACTTGAGCTCGTCCGCGTCCAGCGGATCACGTCCACAGGCTCCGATCCCCAAGGCATACAAGGCCGCGTCTCTGCACAGGCATCCAATCCAAAGACGGAAACAAAAGCAAGCACGCAGCTCTTCAACGAATCGCGAATTTGCCGACAAAACAACCGGTGAAACAATCCCGATATGCTCGATCGCGGTGGGCAGGACGTGAGCTTACCTTTCCGTATACGCGAACGATGTCTGCAATCCGTCATCGCAGAGCAGAGCAGAAGAAACAACAGAGCGGGCCAGAAAAAAAAACAGAATCGATCAGAATTGTCGAGCAACGGGAATCGAGAGGCGACGGGGAGGCGGGCACCTACCTCGGGGAACTTGTGGGCGAGGAGAACCTGAGGATCGGTCTCGGAGCTGGCTCCCGCCATGTCGAAGCAAGCCGCTAGCTAATCCGAAAGCCGTCGGCGGATTCCTCTTCGGACGAGGCGCGTTTTGATTCAGAGAGATTCGGACACCGAGAGAATCGGAGCTTCGAGGGAGCGCGGCGGCGGCGCAGATCGCGACGGCGACGGCGACGGCTACTTGTGGACACGAGCAGGAGCTTCGGGAAGAGCGGGTGGGGATGCCTTTTGACTTTATGTGATCGGGGTTTATCGCCGAAGCCTTTTTTTTTTTTGTTTTTGGTTTGGTCGCATCGAGATGACGATTCGCGTGTCCTGTTTTCTCCAACCCACAGAGACTCGAAGGTTAACGCCAAATTTTGCTCGTACGTTGCTAGAAATTACCGTACATTCAATTTGTTAAAAATTACGCCAAATCTCTAGCGCATAACTTGAAATTTTTACTGGGGAAAAGTCAATAAAAATCCTTCGAAATTATGCACATTTATCCTAAATTTTAAGTGATATCGAAAATCCCAAACTTATATCTGTGTGGCACATTTTACTCTCCATCAAAATTTTGTTAATGAGAAAAGCAAACGATATTGACATGGTGCTCGCAAAAATAATGTTATTTTTTGGTAAAAATCATCTAACAAAATCTTGACGAGAGGTAAGTATGTGACCTAAATATAAGTTTTGAGATTTTGATGTCACAAAAAAATTCATGTGAGCATAGCTTGAGATTTTTTGCGGCTTTGCCCTTGACCTTTAACGTTTTCCCGAACTGCTTGTATTTGTGCTTTGTCCATAAAGCCCCCCATAAGTGAATGAATTTTTTTTTGATCGAATATGTGAATAATTGACGTCACAATAAAAAAAATGGGTTTATAATCGTCCCTCCATTCTTTTTCTTCTTCCAAATTTCCCGATATGGTTTTTTTTTTTTTCCGAAATGCGTTGCCCCTAATGATCCTGAACCTCATGCTCTCTCTCTTGCTCATCTTCGTCTCTCCTTCGAATACACGACACCCGCAAGCAGCTCGCTAGATTTGAGGCTTAAGAGCGTGACCGCCACATCGTGGTGGTTGTGAGCTTTGGCGACGGCAACATCGCACGTGGCGGTGGCTGTTGCCTGCGCTCTCTCTCTCTCTCTCATGTGGCGCCTACTCAGCACCAATGAGCCAGATCATGTGCCAACAAGAATGCGACGCGTTCTCAACTCGTCCCGTTCAACATTCCAGCATCCAGTTAGCAGTCCGACAGCATACTTTGCCAAAACGACCGGTACAGAAGTCAGCGATGACATTACCCCCAAGAAAAACATGTTCCGTCTTCTCATCGCCTTTGTGCATTAGCGCATGTTTCTTTCTCACGTCCTTGCAAGAGTTCCTCATTTTTTTGTTCCGTGTCGGGCCGGCAACAGGACAATTATCCGTGTCGAATGCCTAGCTTTTGGAAACATATCGATCGCGACAGAAGCATCGATCCTATCAGAGAGAGGCTCACTTTTTGTTTCCCCAAAAAAAATGCGCCTTGAAAATAATTGAAATGTTGCCAAAGAAATTATGGTAGGCCGCATCACCGTGCTCTTAAATCACCAAGACATTAATAGGTACGTAAAACAAGAAACTATCACGCAATAAAAGTTACAAGGTTTTGTAAAGACAAAACTCCAAACCTCGCAAAACTGATCTTACCGTGAAACAGTTCCCAGGGTACCAAAATGAGCATGCTAGGCTCCGTAACCACGAAAGGAGCGCCTGGAGTCCGTTGAAACAACCGACTCTTATCTCCTCCATCCAGAATTGGAATGAGATGTTGCAGAAAGCAAAGCCATGCATCCGACTTCATACCATCGAATTGGACAACTGCCCCTTCACAATAAGAGACATTGCCAGCCATTTCTTTCTTTCGGTCCCCTTTATCACGTTGGTGCAGCACATGATCACAGAAATTGACTTAACCTACATAGTATAGCTTCTCGAACTAACTATACTCATCTTCACATTCTGTCTTCTCTCTTACGTGGAGCACAAGTAATGATTTCATCGACCCTCAAAATCATCTCAGCAGCCTCAGTCGCAGAGAGCAGTATGGCCTGCTTTACTTTAAATGACTCAGAAATCCCCAGTTCCACCATATCTCCCACCTGCCACAAGTTAAGATCACAGTGTTCAGTATTCCGGAGCTAAATGTGTTGACTGTCAGTGAGTTCATTCAATTCTTAAATGGACAAAAAGGGGACGAAAACATGCTGTAGACAGGTCATACATGTCTCCCTGTGCTCAAAGGAGCCACAACATTTTAAGGCCTAAATTCTAGTTCATTTGGCAAACTTTTCTACCCCATCTTCTCCACATAAGAAGGGTAAAGTGCAACTCCTATCATCACGAGAGAATATTCAAAACAAAGGTCCAAGAATGAAACAGAGATTCGCAACCGAAACTTACAGAACCGGAGATGACATCAATCCCTGCGGTGCATCCTTCCTTGTGGTGCTCTGCACGAAGCTGAGAAATCAGCTCGGCACTATCCAGACCGGCATTATCTGCAATGATTGTTGGAATGGCCAACAGTGCCCTCGAAAAAGCTTCAATAGCATGAGACTTCTTCCCAGGAGTCTTACGAGCCAGCTCATCGACCTCCTTTGCCATGACCATCTCAGGCCATCCCCCTCCAAGTATAACCCTACTATCATTTACTGTCTGAGACAGCACGCACAAGGCATCATGCAAAGATCTCTCAGCCTCATCCAGCACATGATGGCTGCCATACAGTTGAAGACATGAATGAAAAATCAAGTCGAGCAAAGAAGTGACTGTAATTTCATCCTCTTATTATATAGTAATGCTGTGTGTACTAAAACCGGCATGCAACTAAGTGATGTAACAGACTACCAATGCACCTTTAAACATGTGGATCGTATTCCACATTAAAAAAACTCTGCCACATCACTTAATATACCAATATACCATACGATTGTCCGTATATCTAGTATTGTCCACATATGTTATACAGAATACTCTAGCGATCGCTTGTTCTAGACAGCAGTCATTTATACACAGATCACAAATAATCATGGGTGACGTAAGATTTTTTAGATCAATCTCTCTCATTATGGAAAGAGAGAGAAAAATAAAAGAAATTTGTCATATTGTAAAAATGGAAAAAGATGAGGCAGAAAAGTACAATGCCATACCTTGCACCTCGCAATACAATTGTACATGCCTGACCCATTTCAACACCAGAAAAGTGAATCAGCTTGTCCTCGCCAATCATAATTTCCTCGATGAGCTTGCAGTGTCCAAGCTTAACTGACTCTGGATTGTCAAAGGTTGATGCAATCTCACCACCAGTCACCAAGGCCAGGCGCTCAATACCATCAAAATCAGCATGCTCAATTGCAAGTATTCCAGCATCTGCAAACAGCTCCTCTGGAAAATTGTATATCAACTGTCTGTTGATAAAGCAGTTAATCCCATGTGCTATGATTTTCTGCACCTTTTCCCTCATCTTCTCTTTCTCAGCCCCCTCAATCTCAGCAACCTTAGACATAGAATTGACACGAACACGAGCCCCATAGATCTTCACTTTATCAGTGTCCATTGCAGTATTTGCCACCAAAATCTTAGCATTCTCTATGCGCTTTGGTTGTCCAATACCTATTTTCTTGTCGAGAATAAATCTGCACAAAGGTAGAGCTCCAAATTAGTTTTGTTAAGCATTCTCAGACGTCAGGTTTGAGTTTACTATGCAAATAAACAGCAGATGATGTTACTAGACCATATACAACAGCAATTGCGTGTCGATCATGTCTATGGTTGGAATACAATATAGAATTTTGATGAAACATTCCAGTACCAAAGAAAATACCAAATATGTGTGCATCAAATTGATGGAGGGAGTTTTTCATCGACTTATTGCCTATTGTATTAGATGTCTGGTGGATAGAGCCCCCATGAGAACTAAGTTAAGAAGGGAATATTCAGTAATCTCACCCTTCATCCAAGAAAGAATCCTTTAAAGATCCTCCTGGTTTCTTGATTATCTGTATAGCTTCTAGGTTAGTACTACCCTGCAAGCGCCAGCAGAGAAGTGGCATCAGATGGTGGAAATCGAGACAACAATCCATATATCGTATCACTAATCTCATCAACATAAAAGTTAACAATGAAGAGAGCATCTGAGGACAACATAACATTAATCACACTGATCCTACATCTATGATCTTGTGGTCAAAGTTTAAGAAATCCCACAGATGTTAAGAACAAGACCAAATCAAGATTTGCTAAATTTCAAAGGGCAGAAAAAGCCACTCATCAGAGAACCTATCACAAAAAGTACATTAGATTCATGGACTGGCTTAAGAATGGGCATTCCTAATAATATCCATGTCTACCAGCTTGAAACTCATAATGAACAAATCCAGTGAATATAGAATAACCCAATCAAGAAAGCACATGATTTTTTTTTGCACAGCTATGGTTTGAACAGTTTCGTAAAATACAAAAGTTTATAAGTTAGAGAATATCCATTAACAAACTTAAATCCAAGAGTTTGTACGAAAATCCCAATAAAGAATTGCTAGTGTCCTGAAACTATAGATATAAAAATTGCATTCTGACCTCGTCCATCCAGTTTTGGCCCCTAGTTTGAAGGGGATTTTCCAACTCAATCAAAAGGCTCTACCTAAAGTGCATATGCGCAAAATTTCTTTCATGCACAGATAAATCGAACAGTAAAACAAAAATGCCAAATATTCACATGAGAGAAGAAGAGATTAGGATCTTAAATCATAGCTTACTGTTAGCGTCTACCCTTATCATCAAGGACAAAAAACATAGCTCACCTTTAACCTCATAACGGCATCCACAGCCAACTTAGCAAAATGTTCTTTGTCTTGTGACAGAATTTTGGAACTCAAAGTAGTCATTGCAATTTTCATCAAGTCTGACGTAAATTTCTCTGCATCATGCAATGGATCAGGCGACAAACGGTATCAGAAAGTGGAATGCAAATAACTGGAGACCTGCATCCCTCAGAGATATTAGCATCCACAACCTAGGACATAGAAAATTGCATGGTGTTGGGATACTTGGACTAGTAAACTTTATACACGATCATCACTTTCAGTAGACAATTTATGTATTCAGTGTGCACTGTGCAAATTCTTGATAAAAATAAGGGAAAAAACTTCCTTGAGCAAGCCAATGGATCAAAAGAAACGCAAGGGACACAAGAAAGCAAATAGAACAAGATGTGACAGGCAAACCTGCATCCTTTTTATTATCCATAACCTTTTGCAACAAAGCATTACGAGCACATTCAGCTGCCATCCGAAAGCCTAAAATTGAAAAGTGAAAATCCACCATTTATTATTGGAGGATACAGATTTCACATTCACGGAACAATAAAAAAGGAACAGAGATTTGTAAACGTTTCAAAAAACTTAATTTCGACTAGTGAAAAGCAAATTCTTTTAGAATGGAGATCAACTATTACCAATTAACCAATCAACTGAAAGATGAAAGAGAACCTCAACAAAACTTGAAAGTGATAGCATGACAATATATTTTCACGAATTTTATTTGAATGAAAATACCACTGCAATTAATTACAATCATGATGGACTTCCTGCATACAGTAGGCAAAACTTTTTAGAGATGATTGACCATACGTAGCACATGCGCATTTAAATAAGAGGCCCCCCAAAAAAGTAAAATCACAGAAAGATACGAACCGGATATTATTGTCATGGGATGGATCTTGGCTGCAACCAATTTTTCTGCCTCCCTCAAAAGTTCCCCAGCCAGAACAACGACTGAAGTTGTCCCATCACCCACTTCATCATCTTGCACTTTGGAGATATCTAGTATTTATGTTAAGGATGATGATCACATTACACAAAATGAAATCTCAGCTTTGGATACAAAATAAGGACGTCCTTTCTTTTGCTTGAAGAAATATCAATACCGCCAACAAATGTCTACAACTTCAAGGATACCAACTAATACTTTAGCAGCCGGATTGTCTATGTGAAGAGATTTTAGGATCGTCGCACCATCATTAGTGACAGTAACTTGATGCCCTCTACCAGTTGATTGCAGAATTTTATCCTACTCCCAAACAGGTGCCACAAAATCAACTCGAGGCAAGTAATACACCTAGCAAGTGAGTAAGTCCTCTCTGACATCAAATGACACACTGAAGCAACTGAATCCTACCATTCCCTTCGGCCCCAACGTGGTTTTCACCAGGTCCGCTATAGCCATGGCTCCGACGAAGGAGGCCTGCGGCAAAACAAAGCGAACTCCTATCAAGTGTCAATATCTTTTTCCATTCATACATCATCAACAAGAAACACATTCTCAGTGAGAAAGCGGAAAACACACCATTCTGGCCCGTTCCCCTTTCTCCTCGCTCGCTTCATCTTTGAGAATCCTCTCGACCTGCAACGTTCACCGAAAGAAGCCAAAAAAAAAAAAGAAAAAACAAGAATCAACTCCCACACCAAAAGGCGTACGGATCCAGAGTCGAGCTCCGAGGCACCGACGTACCGCCATTCGAAACCAAGCTCGGAGCCGAAGCGGGAAACCTGCAGCGACGCGACCGGAACGATAGGGAGGGAGAACAAGGACGGATCAGGCGACGAAACAGCGCGCAAAACGGTAAGCATTCGGGGAGTGCAATTCAATGCTCAAACTCCCATCGCCACCCGACCGTTTCCTCCGCGGGGAAAAGAACCGAGAAAAGGTACGAGACCACAGAGAAGCTTCACGCGAGTACGAAGTTACCTGAGACGAGAGACGTCGGGCCAAGGGATGCGACCGAGATCGTCGAAGGGTGTAGGGTTTCGATGGAGAGAGTATGGCGTTCCCGCGGGAAAGCTAGCTGCAGAACGAGGAGGAACGAACCTTCTCGTCGTTGCCTTGCCACCCCGGCGGAAGAGTCGCGAAGGCGCCGACGTGGTCCGGTTCGCTGCGTCGCGACTTGAGCGGTTCGGCTTGGGGCCGTGCCGGACCGGGAAAACCAGACCGGGTTTCATGCGTGGTCCGGTCCACCGTCCGTCCGATGTTTTGAACGATGTTAATTTGCTCGTTGGCACACGCAGTGATGTGCTGACATTATGGATTTTGTAATTCTCGTATCGTTTTTCCTTTTAAATAATTGCTAACTAGTAGTTAGTAACTACACATGGAATTTAGAGATTCGGCGAAGCGACGGACGGAGGTGAAGGAGCACACAGAGCTCGTGACGCCAGTCCAAATGAGAACTTGATGGAACTTTCCGGACTCATCCGATGTAACCACCGTGTAGGTGTGAGCACGGACGGGAACCGGTTTGGATTGACCTTAGAAATTGGTCTGATTCTCAGTTCCTGGACTCCTCAATCCAGTTCTATTTGGAATTGAATTGTACGATCCGGCTCTCGAGTAAAACTAAACCGAACCGAATTAGTAACCGAAGAACCGAACCGAACCGAGATAATTCGAAAACTAGTAGAATCGATGGATCTTTTCAACAATTTTCATATTAATAGTACTAAACTTCAGAATTTGGAACATCATTTTATTACTACTGTTATTAATATACTCTTCCGTTACTTACTTGGATTAGTTTTTAACTTACTCTAGTGCAGGTAGAAGATATGTACATTTTGGAATCCACTTGCAATATATATATATATATATATATATGAAATCCAATATACTATACACTATGAAAACTCAAAATTAACTACTCACGACTCTTTTACACGTGCTTCTAGTTTACTCTTGAATTTGCCCATTTCATTCTTTACATGCAATACGACTTCTCTAGTTAGGTCTGACAAATTACTTAGGATAGATAGTATTGTTGATGAAATCCCATCTATACAAAGAGGAACTGACCGGTTTTCAGTAGGTCGGTTTTAGGTTTCAAAAACTGGGTACCGGTCCCGATAGGGAATTTGAACGCATTCTAGAATCGCTCACCTCTACCGGCACATTGTTCTCCAATTTGCTGTGACGCCATCGTGCTAATTAGTTGACTTATGTACAACAGGAAAACGATGGAAACGCTGAAATTGTTAAGCAATCGTTGTTCAACAGAGGGAAGGAAACCTGATTCTCACACTTCTGAGAAAAGCCTTAAACCTGACTTGAGCATATTGACTCGGTAATAATGATTTGATGTATCGGTACGAAAAAAGTTCGAACAAATAAATGATTCTGTCGCGTAAAAGAATGAGACCTCGAGCTGAGGTCGTTCCGGAGCTTAGAATGGTCTATCGTCCCTAACGAATGACGCCCAAGAATGATGGAAAACAAATGAAACTCTGCTATTCGTAAAAGTTTCTTCCTACTGAAGTGTCGCCGATGATGTCGTTACGCCGCTCAAAGGGGTCGCGTGTGCCGCCCGCTCGCCCTACCGCACAGAAGCGCGTTCTTAGGAATCGGGTATTCGTCTCTCAGTGAAGTCGACGTGGTGTAGACTTGCAGATAGAATTGCTGCCCGAGGTACTGTCTCGCCCAGAACTCTGACCGTAGGTTCCACATTCCGACGTTGTCGAGTGGAATGTAAATCGCCGACCAGGACTTGGGGTACACCTGCATTCAGCAAGTGCAGGAGAGCGTTGAAGTTATGTCTAGGAATGGCAAAATATTTAGCAGAACTACAAAATTGACTTCTTTTTCGGTTTTCGCAGCACATAAGCACTTAATCGAGTTGAACAGCTTCATGAGAATTTTCTCACCTGAATGTTGCAACGAGCGACTCCATCTCGAAGATTGTACTGATTCCTGCTGGCCGGCGTCCATTGCCCTCCGTCCATACTGTAATATCAGGCGAATCGAGGTCCAACATAAGCAAGAGATGGTTGGATGATCATAGACCGATCAATCAAGAAGGAAAACATAGGTGACATCCTTACCCGACTACAAAGAAAGAGTAGCCATCGAGGTGCCAGCTTTGTAAGATGTCCTCATTGTTTTCGAAGACGATCTCGATATAGGCTCTGTAGTCAGCTCTCATGACCGACGTGTCGAGGTATATCCCGCCGCCTGTAGGGTTGTCAGAGATGCTCCCGACACGATAAACTCCATCGATCTTAAAGTAGTCGGCGAGCTTTAGAGGAGTATCCGCTGGGACGAAGGACACGCTGTTGACTGCATATCTCTGTTTCCCATTGACAGGACCAGCAGAATTGGCAATTCTTATTGTTCTTGTTGTGTTGACCATGCCGTAGTGGTATGAACCTTGCGGATTTGGCCTTGGTCCACTTGCCGTAAGATTCGTCCTGAAACAAACCCGTTTAAATGCGATGATAAGAAGGACGAATTTGGTAAGATCTTTCAACGATTCTTTTGTTCATATATATAGGCCTGGAACACAATTTACCGGATAGATCGTGCCTGGTTCAAGGACCAGTCAACCTCGGTCGTCGGACCACCGGGAATAGGGCCTGAGACGGAGCCAGCGGAGTTGCTGTAATGGAAGACACCTGTAGTGGTCAAAACTGGAGACGTGAAGCGAGAAGAGACCACGACATAATAGTCTTGAGCAGGCTGGTCAGCTGTTACGAGAACTGATAGCGATTGGCCCACATGCACATCGACCGACGAGTAAGTGTTTTGAACCGTATGCGTTCCCTCTACCTCGACGAGCACCAGTTTGTGGCCTTGGATGCGGAAGTTGAGGGAATTCATCAACCCCACGTTAGAAATCCTAAGCCTGTAGGTCTTTCCTGCAATAGATACAGAGGAATCAAGCTAAAATACCAAATGCGGGGTACCGCATGCAAGCTAAGAGAACTCAAGGTACAATGTCTTCGACGTCTAATGATAGTGTTGAAATTAAGATTTGTTTCATTCTCGAGGAAAAAGTACCGAAATATCAGAAAGAAAGAGCACATTGGACAAGATCCTTAACATACCTTTTTCCACAGTGAAAGAAGCTCCGCTTCCGCGGCCATTGATGAGTATACCATCAGGGAATGGCAGCATGTTGCCATTGTCAAGAGTGGCCTTCAAAGCCTGCAATTGCACACGCGATAAGGTTATCTTCATGGTTCAAGTGCACGATCTCAGTAGGGAAGTTACTTCGATGCACTCGTACACTACTGTCAATTAGAATACTAATTGCCTTGGGGACATGGCCGGGATGGAGTGAAGTGATAGTACCATTTCCTGAGATTGATAGACTTTCCTCATTAAGCTTTAGTGAACGGAATGCAATATGAAATGCAATATCGGGCATCCTTTTGATTATAGAATCAGCACAGATATATCAACTCACGAATGGAGGAAACTGATCTCAGCAAATAGGGTTTGAACTGATTAATGAAGTTAGCAATGTATCCACCACAGTGCAGTGCAGACATCTAAAGAAGTTATTATTGGCTGCATATGCACATTTATCAGCCCGCATTAACCAAGACACGACAAACAAGCGCGACTTCACAGACTTTATTTGTGGTGCAAGTTTGGCTCTAATCCACATAACGTGCCCTCGACAAAAGAAGCCAGTGGTTTCGGAACATCTCATTGTCATCAATTGCACAGGCCTTGTCAATCCAGAAAGAACAGAACAATGTTTGGTAGGGGCCCATTGCTTAAATCATTGGATCACCGTTCATTTCCTAATTCTTGAAAATTGCTGCTATAATCCAAACTAATTTGTCTCCATTGTTTCATCCTCTACCCTACCTATTCCCGCTGATTATGGTGTAATAGCAAATCGACAGTGAAGACCGAGTCAAGAAACTTAGCTGTCAAATGAAACAGACTTCTGCAATACCATCAACAAATCAAACAGTGAACCAATGGTAGAAGAGTTGGAACCACTGAGAAAAATTACAATGGACAGTGGATATCTATCCAAAAAGCTACTTGTGTTTTTACAAATTACGGTAACACCCATTAAGATAGGTACCATTTGCCTTTAAGAACGTTCTAATCAAATCGAAATTCACCCAATAGAACTCAATTGAGTCATTTTACCGACTTGTCCGAGTTACCGAAAGGATAAGCTAATAGACACTCCAGACGACGATGGCTTTTTTTTCATTTTTTGGTCGATGACGACGATGGTTAGTTCATAGGTAGTACACGAAGCAGGAAAAGTGCAACTTTGGAACAGAAAACAAAAAGAAGGAAAAATGCAAGTAAACAGGGAGGAGGTGTATGTACCGTGTGATTGGCCTTGTACCAATCTCCAATGAGGACGGTGTAATCGCCAGCAGGGGGCGGGAACGGGACTGGTATCAGCGGCCGGCTGAGGATCCTGATGCCGCCGAACCCGCCAGCAGCCTTGTGGAATGCGAGGGAGGGGAAGTAATAGAAGCTTCCAATCTGGTCCTTGACTTGAAGGATGTAGGTGAAGTTCTGGCCTGGAGGGATTGGGCATGTGGTTCCATAGACTCCATCCTCATAGGAGTTCCTCCTCTGTTGGATTCCATTCCTGCATATTCATGTTTTTTAGCACCCAATTAGTTCTCTCTTTAAGTAGACCTCAGATCAAGCTAACTGGGTAACTCTGGTTTTTTCTCACAATAAAGACAAACATCAATTGGAGTATAAATTATTGCAAAGGGTCCATTTGGATGACTATTGAATTGGAACACCGTGGTAGCTAAGCTGTGACAACAAGTCAATGTGTATGTTCCCACTTGTCTGTCTTGAAATGCAGCAGTGGGGGGAGACCTAAGATTGAAGCTGGACCACACAATTTGAATGTGTAAAAGATTGGGGAAGCTGTTCGAGGTGCGCATTTCAACGAAGCAGCTACTAGCAGCCCAACACAATGACAATTCATACACGATCCTGATTGCGAAAAACATTGATTTGATTGGTGATATCACGTTAATAAGCTTTTCATAAAGATAGGAAAAGAAAAAGAGAGCATATTCCTTTTCTAGCTCATAAAAATCGTTACTGTTTCTCTGATTAGAAGGACGGGTCACTTTCAAAAGACAGACAAAACAGAGCGGGAGTCGGACTCTCTCTTACTTAGATCCCCGTGACGACTTAATATGGGCCTAGGCCCAATCACAGTGCAAATCAATCATTATGTAATTTGAGTGCTTTAGGTGAGATTTTGGTCTGTGGGGTCCCCCGCTCATCACGCCAATGCATGTAATGTGAATCGACAGAATGAGCAAAAAAGCTTTTACAAATTAATGATGCACACGCAACATGTCTGTCTGAAATCCAGGCAATGTGAAACGAGCACCCAGAAAGAAAATGGATCTGATATCTAAAGAAAGGGTCGGATCACGTGAACCCCATTGATGTGCACACCCATTCTCTTAAAGGACACGCGTCTATTGAGTACTGAGGACTCAAAGATGGAGAATATTTGCTATACTCATGAAAGTTCTGCACCATCACACACCCATCAACAGCTGTTGATTTTAGAATAAACCGTGCTCGAGTAATTGACAAATTAATGCTGCAAATCGCTCTTAAGAATGAAAATTTCACGAGGGAGAGAGGGATGGACCATGAGAGGAGGAAAGGCTCGGTCAGGCTGTTGATGACGTTGATGATGAGGTTGTCGTTGGTGACGGAGAAGATGTCAGGACCCGGGAATTGTCCATTGATGAGTATGCCCTGCGAAAAACGGAGAGAACATCACTACCCATCATCGTTATACATCGCATGTGTAAAACATACAGAGACCTTCATTTTCAAGATCCAAAACGGTTTCTTCATCTTCTTCGTATGCATATATCAGGGGATAGAGAAAGAAAGAATCAAAAAGAAAGAGTCACCTGTTGGCGAACACCAAGTGGGTAAATGTCTCCATAAGTCACATTCCAAGTGAAGAACCTGTAAGGGTCATCAGCTCCTGCAATGGCGAGGACAGTGGCGCACACGCCCAAGAACAGGGCGCCCGCTCCCTGCCTCATCCTTCTTCACACAAAGCCAAACTACGAAAAAACACTCCTCTGTTCTCTCCTTCTCCCTCCGTCTCTCTGTCTCTGTCTTTGGGTGGTACTTAAATCTGTGCAACAGGGTGGTCTAGGGGGAGAGATTATAAAAGGGAAGAGTGTGGAAGTGAGTGTGAACCCACAAGATACGAGCAGCGTAAAGGGAAAGAAGAGCCCAAATTAGTAGCCGCAAAGGAGGAAGGAGGGAGGAAATGGGGGGAAGACAGAGAGAGAATGAGCGGCGAGTTCGTGTGGACAAAACAAAGACGTGTCGGTGGTGGGGTCAAAGGAAATGGGTGGGGGGTGGGGAGGGATTAGATTAAAGGCAAAGCTCGCCATTTGAACTGTGCCTTCTTGTCTTCCCACATGGATTGTGGGCTGTTCTCTGCTGTTTCTTTGAGATAGATCAATTAAAGACAGGGAGAGATGATTGGCAAGTGGTAAATTTCCCTTTTTTTTGGTGATCTTCTGGGTAATGTTGGACAGTTGTGCAAGGCTTTGACATTGGAATCTGGTCATTTTCCTGCTCCATTTTTTTGGCATTTTTGGTGGCAAAAATTTACCATTTTTGCCATTTTTTGGGCCACATCACATGTCCAATTGTTGCATATTTCCCTACTAATTAGGTAAGTCACGTTCATTTTATGTCAAACCAGCTCAAGATTAAAGGGAATGCAAGTGCAGAAACAGTAAGCTAAATTTCTCTTGGCCATCTGTTTTGTTGCTGGTGGATGGCAAGACTAATCTTCCTCCTACCATATAAAGGGTACGGCATCCGCATTTGCCTTTTGGTCGTAATCTTGCCAGTTTAGGGACAATCTCCGCCCGCGGCTCGCGACGAGAGGAGCCCGATGCCATTTAAATCTCTCTCTATATCGGGGGTGGTATTCATGCGAGGCTCGCCGTATCCGACGTTCTTGCGGGGATTAGAACGGCGAGTCGTGCGATGGGTTTGGAGCAAAATGGGCTATCGCTAAACAAAAATGATCGATTTGGACGGTGTCGCAACGATGACGGGGATTAAATTTTTTACCTTTGCGACTACTAATGCTATTAGGAATGCACTCGAGAGAATCTGGCCATTAGAAAATGGTCACGGTGATGAGGCTGTTTACTTATTAGGGAGAAAGACACAAATGGTTCCTGAATTTCAATCCAATGTATAATTTGGTCATTGAACTTTTAATTTGTTCAATATAGTCTCTGAATTTTAGCCTAATAATCAATGTGGTCTCTTGACTTTTGGTACATATTCAATTTAGTCCATGAACTGTGTGAAAATGTTCAATGTGTGCAAATTAAAAGTTCATGGACTACATTGAACATATGGCTAAAGTTCATGAAATACATTGAACAGATTAAAAGTACAGAGATCAAATTATATATTGAGCTAAAATTCAGAGACTGTTTGTGTCATTATCCTTATTTTTTACGGTCAAACGATCCCAAGTCTTTTTTTTTTCTTTTGTAATTTCACGTGACAACTTGACCATTAAAGATCACTGACATAGCACTCCATGTAGCTCAAGGTAACAAAACAACAATATCGCGGAGGCCCACCCTTGAGATTTGAGATGGATTTAATAATATTATGGTTCAGGTTCATTAGTAACGATACACGCGAAAAAAAAATGAATTTTACTCGGGAAAAAGAAAAATGTTAAAGAGTGGCCAAGAGTCATTAATCGTGTTTCGGAAAATTGTAATAATTTGTATTAGAAAATGGATGGGTATTTCGAAATTCGGCGATATATTTCTCCGACCACCCTTCTGATTGACGAGCGATAACGTGGATGAATTGTGGATATCTACCCTGCACGCAAGATTAACCGGATGTATGTGATGTCGATGGTTGCAATTGGTGTTCTTGAAACGGTGGTGCATTTTACTAATAGGAAAATGAAGCTAATACTGAGAAAAAAAAAGGAGCAAAAGCCACAAAAAAACTTCAAATTATGCTCACGCTAAAGCGTTTACCATAATTTTTTTTTCTATGACGCAAAAAAATCCTAAATTTGTGCTTGCGTAACACATTTACCTTCGTCAGAGTTCCGTCGACGAGAACTGTTAAAAATCTGCTTACATTATCCCGGAAAGCAAAAGTCGTCGACATGGCGCTCATGCGGCTCAAGCGAAATGAAAATGACGTTGTTTTGATTGAAAAATCATCTGACGGAACGGTAAGTGTATCGCATAAGTACAAACTGTGCCATAATATGGAACCCGTGCAACAGAATTCTGCTACCATGAAACAGTTTTGAGGCGCAAATCAAAATCCGAAGGAGGGCTTGGAGGCCAACGGGCAGTGTCCCTTCAGTAGACATACGAGGAGCTGTCTATACGTGGGATAGCATATCTGTCACAACCCTTGTTTTTCGTTTTGCCTGATTTGTATCTTAGTACTCTTATAGTTTGGAGATTTTTCCTGGCTTTTTTTTTATTAAAAGAAAAAAAGTGAAAAAGATTAGGCGCTCAAATGCAAAGAAGCAGCCCATCGATTTAAGGACAGCGTTTTTTTTCCCACGACGATGCAAACTTGAGTGAAGCAGGAGGGAGTGCGCAAATATGAAGCGTGGCCATCAATACGAATAATTAATGGCACCGCCTGGGGACCGGACGCTGACTCACCCACGCGCATTCACAACATGCCCACGTTCTTACAGCCTCGCAACGCGGCAACCGCGAAGAACAGTACCACGTGCTCAAATTGACAAAATCTTTTGCGTATCCATGAACCTCGACGCGCTTTCTGTAAGTCCCGTCCTTCGTTAATGTTGTTCCCCGCGGCAACGTCCGTGCGATGTATTGCCGAAACTATGGGCATGGGCGAAAGCTGCGGCGGGGTCAAGAGGTCAACTCTCCCATTTAAAATTTGTAACTAGTGTTAATGGATCCGGTTTTTGGCTCTAGGTGTGGACCGAATTACTCGGACCATTTGAACCGGACTGATAGTTCTTTTTTTTTTGTTACCAAAAGTCCAAAGAAGAGAATAAGACAACATTTATACACACACACTTAACACTCTCCAAGAGCGTTCCGTTCAACTCCGTTCTTTTTTATCCCTTATTTGGTCCAATGTTCCATTCCCTACCAAGAAATAAGGATAAAAAGAAAAAGAAAAACGTCACGCGAGTTTTTAAATCCACTTAAGAATTGGATAGGTCCAGCGATTCCTAGACCCGCCCAGGTATGAAACTGGTCCGATTCCAGGATCAAGTGGACTGGTTCCCAGTTCAACAAATTGGAAACTGACCCTTCTGATCAGGTTCCTGATTTCAGAATGGGAACCAACCCACCCTGCAACCAATCCACTCATACAAGATTGGCAACAAGAACAGAAGTGTTAGTCCTTGCTGAACAACCTCGGTTGTTCTCTTCTTAACGCTGACCAAAAAAGATAGGAATGGACTGGAGTTCGTGGACCCACCGGCATTTTCCGTACGCCCTAGGCTCAGTGCGGCTCGAGCATCTTATGGGAGTAATTCAAGATCTCGTGAGACCAAGAAACAACCGAGAATTCAATTCTAGAATCTGGATTGTCTCAATCAATCAGAGTGAGTTTCGAGCCACTCGGTCAACCATTGCCATGGTACAAGCTCAGTTTTTCTCAATCTCTCGCTTTTTTCTCTCTCTATGCGACGATGCAGACATCCATCAACTTAACCGGGAAGAACCGAAGGCCAGTACATTCTCAATCTACTGGTTTCTAATACATCAACATGCTTCGTGACCATATCCTGCCATCGTCTTGGAAAAGAAATCAATGCGGCCGTCGCATAAGAAACTATCCTCTAGAAAGTACATTGTCTATCAAGACTTCCCATATGCGAGTTATGAGCTACTGTGGCAGACCAGCATCGTGAAGGATGATCATATCTTGTGTTGAAGCGAAATTTGACTGCCTAAGAAGCTGTAAATGGTAGCAACATCCAGATATTCATGAGACCACGGTGCAAGACAGACACAAGTTGCTTGTCCAATGACGTGAGACACCAAAGCTAAACTGACTTCCACAAATCAAGAATCCTCTGCCAAAATATGGCCCCAACATAAGCACACTACCTATATTCGGGGATCTCTATTCCGAAACTCGACTTTCAAAATCTCCTAAGGACCCCATTGGCAGTTAAAACTGCAAGTTCAGAAACGCATACAGTAACATAATCTCAAACGCATGCGACTATCGTTTGAAAATTCACTGCTCCATTTACTATGCTCACTAGCAGCCTAGGAGCACAGGAAGAAATCAAACCGTAACAGTAAACACCCCATCAGACAGATCATACTTCCACGGTCTATTTAGTGCCATCTTCCACGATTCTCTCAGATGAGAGAGAATGTCACATGTATTCTCACCATGTTGCATAATCTACCACCGCACCATATGAGAAGCTGACGAGCACCACCTATGAGCAGCACCAATCGAATGAAGGAGCTAACATCATGTAAAAAGTAACAGAGAAGACGAGCAACTAGAGCCGAACGCATCCCAAGGTTAAGCCCGCCTTCTGAAGGCCCCACCGAACCCTCTCACAGACAAAACTAGAGCAAAATCCAGAACTCAAAGGGAACAATGTATTAACAGAAAATATATAAAGGTACACAACAGCAAAAGGCAACCGTTATAATAAAATATACATCAGAAAAGCAGATGCTCGGGTTCACTGACACCTATATATGACTACATTGTTAATTCCTACAAGCCTGAAACATATCTGTACAAAATCTTTGAATGGAACCTCATGAACAATCCAAAGTGGCCTCAAAACTAGACCAAATCCATCAAATTTGCAAAAAGGTTGAAGATCTTGACAGCAATTAGCGGTGCTTACACTTGCCTTGAGTCACCCTGCAGCCGCTGCCGCACATCACGACGCAGCAACTCGATATACTCCTGCAAAATGCACCATCGTGATTAACATTTGAGCTTGAGCAATATGCATGTCTTTCACCGAGGGCAATATTCTCAATGAAACGGAGAACAGAGGTCTGTACATGCATCAAGATTATATCTTCATCAGAAGAGTACTCACCCTTGCTAGATTCTCATCCCCACGAAGTGCGACCACAATGTCTTCGGAATCATTTCTGCTGCCATACAACCGACTTGCATTTTCAATCATCGAGTTAAATATATCTAACGGAGGATGTGAGTCTTCAATGTTGCTAATTACATGTTCCAGGTTGACCTACATAGAACCCAATGCAAACGACATGTTAACATACA